GTTGTTTTCATTTGGGTTTCTTTTAGGTTTTGGGGGCTAGGTCTTACCCTGTAATCCAAACTGACACGGAAGTCAAAATCCTACCACCTAGAGCTCCCATATGGTGGGATCACAGGCATGTACCACCTCTCCAAACAATTCATTTTATACAGATTAAAATACTTGCCAAAGATTACAACATCATCCTCTTTCCACCACAACAGTGATGACCCAAGGAGAGGACACAGTTTGCTTAAGCCAGATCACAGGTGTTAGTATCTGAGAAGTAACTAGTAATTAAGTCCCCTAACCACAGTTAAATCATTACATCAAAAATGCATGGATAGTTTTTAAAAAACAAATCAACTGCACCTATCTCTCCCACCCTTGTACATTATTTTTCTAAGATATCAAAAACAGAATAGGAAACTAGGTGGTGGTAGTAGATACCTTTAATCCCAGGACTCAGGAGGCAGAGGCAGGCTGATCTCTGTGAATTCAACGCCAGCCTGGTCTACAAAGTTGAATTCCAGAACAGCCAGAACTGTTAAGACAGAGAAACCCTGTCTCAAAAAACCAGGAAGGGGGGGGGGGGGTTTGGCACAAATAGGAAACAAACAACTGAACCTGAATAAAGGCAGAAAAATGAGCAATGTTAAAAAAAAAATGTGTAAATGGAAAGCCATAATTTTGTGTGCTGGAATTATAAACCTGATTTATGCTTCAAAGTCAGAGATTTCAAACACAGAGGAATATGGACAAGGCTGGGGGTGCGGTGCGGCTTAAGGGAAGAGCTTAACAGTAAACACACTGAGCTCAGCAGCACGGAGGCACAGACCTGTGTCACAGGAGTCGCTTCCTAGTGTTCTTGTGTCATCTTTGCATGTGAAACCATTTGAATAGTCATTCAAAAACATCACATACATATTCTGATTTGTCTCAGGCTGGGAATTTCAAAGAGCAGATGTTTTTGATTTAGGCCCTATACAGCCTGTGCTCAGCAGCGTAATTATCATAAGCTAGCATTTATTCCCCCCTCACAAGCCTCAGGGGTAAGGGAATTGTTTATTGGATCCATTTTACAGCTAAGGATAATAAAGCTTAGAAAGGTTAAGAAAGCTGGCCAGAAGGCAGGTTTTGTAACTCATACTTGTAATACCAACATTTCAGAGGCTGAAGGACAGCCTTGTTAAGTTCCTGTCTAGCCTGGGCAATTGAATGAGACTGTCTCAAAAAGAAAAAGAACAAAACTTGAGCAGTGAAACAAGCTAATAAAGTGCAGGGCACAGACACAAACCGCATGTTTCCCATCTTCACAACAGCCAGCTACTAGAGGGAATAATTCCCCAGCAGGTTTCCTGAGATGCTATAGCAGGCAGATGTTAGGGGTGGTTAGGTGTGTGTCCACCACAACTACATTATGTATGAGCTCACATACGTGTGAGGGTAGAAACGAGCAGGCACAACACAAGTGTGTATGGAATTGGCATCAGGTGTCTACTTCAATCAAGCTCCACTGTATTCATTAATTCAGGATCCCTCACTGAACCCTGAGCTGGACGAGCCTGCTTGCTCCAGGAATCCCCCCTCTGCTTCCAAGTGCTGGGCTTCGAAGAGATGTTCATTTTACAACCTCTGTAACTAAGATGGTCTCCCTAGCCTATCAAGCCTTTGCTAGTATACTGTTAGCTACAAGCTAAGGAAGAACTTACAATTGCTCAAACACTGCTCTCAGGAAGCCCCTAAAGTGAACTAAGCCAGCTTTTTCAAAGGGGAAAAAAACTGCCTGGGCATGGTAACTTGGAGGCAGGAAGATCTAAGAAAATAACAATAGAAAGAAAAAACAATTAAGTTTCTGATCCTTTACACATAACTATCCCCCAAAATGTAGATACATCAAAAAGCCACAGTCAAATGAGGGAGATGCTGCATAAAAAAAAGGAGTCCTGCCTCTTTCTAAAACTGTAGCGTATGTGGAAGGAAATGCAAATGTGTTCAGGAGAGCTCAAAGCAGTCTTCTTCTGAACCATGGCAGGTTTTTAAGAAATTACTCTTGCACAGGCAAGGCTTCCCTGCCTCGATCATCACACATAACCTTCCTAGGTCAAGGAGCAGTAATTCCTGAGATAAGTCCCTCCAGATCTGTCACCTACACACAGGCTCAGTTTCACTATAATACCCTCACAGGACAGTTGGAGAATGCAGGGCAAGGGCTTTTTAGAACAAGACAGTATGGAGCAGAAAGCATTTAGCTGGTGCTGTCTCAGAGCTACTACTCTACCTAAGCAGAAATCTAACTCCCCAAAACTCACGAAAGCCCTCCTTATAGTGTGTTTTTACTTCTAATGAGGACAGCTGCATCTAAAACCCAGTGAGTTCTGAGTGGAGACTAACTCTATCACTTGGACCACACATCTAACTCTTTTTGGGTCTTGGCCTGTTTTTACATGTTTTCATATTCTACATGTTGCTATTAGAGGAGTAACTCCCAGGAAAGATAAGGGTTGTCAAAAAAAAAAAAAAAAAGCTTCTAAAATATATTTAGAGAATATTTTTAGTATGCTTTTGGGGGAGAGGGGTTGTGCTAAGACAGAGTCTCAAGTAGCTCATGCTGGCCTGGAACTCCTTCCTAATGTAAAGCCTCAGGAAATACCTTGAACTCCTGATTCCGTCTCCACTACATGTAGCCAAGAAAAATGTTAGTTTGGGGGAAAAAAAAAACAGGTGAGGACTTGGGGGCATAGGCCAGCGGTAGAAAGCTTATGTAGTATGTACTAGGCTCCAGCTTCCATTCCCAGAAGCACACACAAAAAGGAGAGAGAGGAACATACCCCCAATAAATGCTATTATTGATTCCAGCTGCCCTGAAATTAGATTTTTTTTGGCTACAGGATACATGCTTCCCTTTCTGAAATGAGGTAGGATTATCATCTTTACAGTGCAAGGGACAAAAGTCTCAAAAAGAGCTATATCCATTAAGAACTGCAGGCAGGCTGCAGTGACAAAACCTTTGAGCCAGCACTCAGGAGGCCAAGGCCAGCCTGGTCTACAGGGCCAGCTCCAGACCAGATGGAAACAACAACAAAAACAAAGCCCCAAGGCATCATTATTTTATAATGCCCTAGTATGTGTAAAGTCCACTCTATTGAGCTGGGAGGTAGATAAATAACCATAACCTTGGCTTACTAATGGCTCAGCTTCTGATCCATGAGTCCTGCTTGTACAGGAGGAAATGAATTTCTAATTATCAATTCTAGAGAGGAAGTGAGTGATGTCATCACTTTCAAATATACAGGTTACATGTTCAGATTATGAACCCAAAGGTTAAAGTTAATAGTCATAACATAGGCCAGCAATCGTGGCAAAAACCTACATCTCATGACAATGGAGGCCTGAATCAGGATTGCCAATTGAGTGAACAATCTAGCCACCTTGTCTCAAAAAAAAAATTGCTACATATAAATTATGATTTAACCTGATTTCCTGTACAACAACCAAAATAGTTTTGTGTCTCCCCCCCACCCTTTTTTTACATGTACCCTGGCTTTCCTTCATTAAATTTCACATGAACTGAGAGGTGGCACCTACCTAATATGGTTTCCTAGGCAAAGATTTAAAAGAATATAGCTCAATCGGGCACACAGCACTCCATCCCAAAGCTATTACCACTATTCTATACACAAGTAAATCAAAGGAGATGCTAAGCTTCCAAGTTTCAAACTTTAAAAGTCACTGCTAAAAAATAACAGTTGCCAAAACTGCAGTTTACCAGGAAGCAGCACTGCCTTTAATTAGTAAAATATTTTCCAGAAAAAAAAATTTCATTAAATTTTAAAACCCTCTCAAATAAGTGAATACGCACTATTAATAACAGTGTAACATGAGGGCTACAGGACAGACCAGCTCAGTGGCATCTGCCTAGAACTCAGCCTCTGCATTCCCAGCACTGCAAAAAACACACAAACATGTTTCCATTTGAAAATCACTTCCTTGAAGGAAATGTAATAGTTTTCCAAGTTATATATAAAAATCATTCTGAATCCACTATTTCCTCTATACTTAGCTAACAAGCATGCCTTAAAATTCAAAGTCTTTTGTCTAACAAGTTTCTTCCCCACAACATATGGGTCCCTTTAATCTGCTCAGAACCCTTCTAGCAAGAACCGAAACTAAAACTCATGAAAGTCCCAAGTGTCAGGAACTGCTCTGAACCCTAGATACTGCTCATGTTTTAAATATACTAAAAATAATTCAACAAAAAAAATAAATTAATAAACCTTGTATAAACCCCACAATTTACTGGAGTCATCAAAATAAAGATGACTTGAATAATCCAAATAAATGTTCCCCCATTATTGCTCAAATCTAAAACAAGCCCCAGCCGTTTAAAAAAAAAAAAAAATACTAATTTGGTTTTCTGTTTGTTTGCAAGAAAAAAAGGAAGTTCATCTTGGTAATTCCTAAAGAAGTGTACTGTAAAAACTAAAACCAAATCACATCAAATAAATCCTGGGTATGAGGAATCATAACTTACAAGTGTTTTGTTTTGTTGTTGTTTTAATCCTAGATTTTTCGGGGTTTTTCTCCTGAGAATTTTTGTCTTTAAACACACTGGCTCACGAAAATATCCCCAGGTCACTCTAACCTAAGGCATTAATTTTACTAAGACTTTACAAATTTAGAAACACCAACTCAAGCCTTCAAATCAACGTAACGAACAGCGTTCCCTAGCATCCTCGGTGTGGGCAGCAGGTCCACGGTCACTCCGCTTTGGAATGGAGTTCTCCCTCGGCTCGGAGGATGTGGGAAGATCCCTGGCTGGATAAGGCAGGGATGGGAGGGAAGCGCAGGGGAGGAGGGAGGGCAGCGCCGTGAGGACCGCGGGAGGCGGATGGGCAGCGGGGTCTGGGGAGGAGGAGAGGAAGGAACCCTCACGACAAGGGCAGGGGCAGCCATCCCCGGGGCCGGCGTCGCTGACGCGGCGGCTGGGGGAAGGAAACGCCGTACCCGCCCGGCCTCACCTGCAGGGTCACCTCGCGGGGGTCCCAGTGCGGCCGCAGGTGCCGCAGCAGGCTCAGGGCGCCGTCGCGGCAGCGCTGCTCCTCCTGGTCCTGCACCGTCACGTCGAGCTTCGGCACCTCGGGCGAGCCGGGCGGGACGTGGATGTAATTGGCCATGGCCCAGGCGACGGCGGACACGACCACGACGACCACGGCGACGGCGACCACGAGCGCGGCGGGCGCCGGCAGGCTGCTGGACCCTTCCGTCCCGGGGCGCCCTCGGCGGAGGGCTGCGGCCGCTCGGACGCACGGGCGGGCGGCGGGGGCGACGGGGCGGACGGCCGGGGTGCGCAGTGCAGCGACGCGGAGGATCGGCCGCTCTCGGGAAGATGCCCCAGTGCTCTCGACCGCGGGCAGCCGCGGAGCATGCCGGGACTGGCCTGACGCTGGCGTCACGCCGGGGGCGGAGCCTCGGCTGCGTCAGGCGGCCGGCGGGGTGGCGAACCCCGCGGCACAATGGGCGGGCCGCGGGGCTCTCGGGGGTTGGGGTCTCGGGGAGCGCGCACTGCCAGGCGCTCCGCTCCGCTACTGTGGGGCTGGCTGGGCTTCTGCACCCGAAGGAACCCGAATGTTGCCGAGCCCTGCCGGAGCGCTCACGAGCCTGGCCGAACTCTGCCGAGCCCTGCCGGAGCTCTAACGAGCCTTGCCCGAGCCCTCCCGGGGTCCTGCCGAACTCAGCCGAGCCCTGCCGGAGTCCTGTCGAGCTTTGCCGAGCCCCGCCGAACTCTACAGATGCCCTGTGGAGCGGTACCCAGCCCGGTCAGGCCTTAATAGAGCGACACCTTTCTAGATCAATAGGGTCCTGGGCTCTGGCCTTACTTAGGGCTGAGGTTTTTAGGGGGTGCAGAAGGCATGTCCAGAAATAACCCTAAATTTAGGCTGTGAGCTTGGCCACAATCCGGCCAAGCTGGATTAATTTGTTCGTCTTATTCCTGAAGCTGTGTACACGAAATCCACATGCTAGGTTTAGCAACCAAATTCCCCGGCGGTGCATAGAGATCACAGTATTTAGGACAACTTTAAGTAAAATAAGAGTAAACCGACGATGGTGGTGTGATGACGTACACCTGTTATCCCAGCTCCCAGAAGGCTCAGGCAGGAGGATTGCCACGAGTTCGAAGCCAGCCTGAGCTATATAGTGAGTTCCAGGTCTGCCAGGGCTACTTAGCCATCAAATAGGGTAAGACAACTGCAACACTCATTTTAAGGGTCGGATACTTGACCTTGCTGAGAATTACTCACAGCCTGTAAAAACAAGGTAGAGGCTGGGAGAGTGATGGAAAGAAAAATAGACGACTGTGGGGGATAAGTCACAGTGGGCCCTGGGACTGGGCGGGGCTACGTGAACCCTCCAGTGTCTGTTGGAAACGCCTCTCGCTGCCTGTTAGAGGAATGTCCTAGTCGGAAACCGCATCATCTACAACGGTCTGCACTTCCCCAGTTTCCTTTTATGACGGAAACAATGGAGGCGAGTTTCACCCAGGCTTCTGGCTTCCCTGGGGCTGAGAACAAAGGGAACACATTTGTTCGTGAATGGTCAAAATGTTTTATCATCTACTGGGATACATGTATGTTCTCATTGTTCTGAATGAGCCTACTTACCTTTGTAAGTCACAAAACAAATGCATCAGGGATAATGATAAACTTCCTAAAAGGAAATCCACTTTTGCATTTTTGCAGCATAATCAGTTTATTGAACATTTTCCAGACAGGTATGTTGGGTTTTTTTTGGGGGGGGGGTT